CCAGGCAAGCGGCCTCATCTGTGCACTGCTACTCGGTGCAGAGGTGGGATGCAGCCAGAGGAGCAAGGCACCATGGCCTAGCCTCAGTCCCCAGGATCTGCCCTGGCAGGGTCCACTAGCAAAGCACACCTCCCAGCACCAGCATGCGACAGATGAGCTCACCAGGACCCTGTGTGATGGATGAAACCCAGCCTGGAGGAAAGGTCTGTGGAGTTGGTTCACTTTGTTCAGAAACGCCTTTTTCTTCCTTTCATTCTGTGCAAATCAAAAACTTTGGGGGGGAAAAATAATTTTTGAGCCATCCCTTCCCCTTTGGGATCAAAGGAAAGAACACCAACACTGACCACAGTATGGCTCAGAAGGTGGCATGAAATGGGAGCTTTCATTTTTAGACTACACTTAGTGGTTTCATTTTTCTTCTTTTTTTTTTTCCACTAGTTCTTTTCCCACATTTGGCAGAGCCCCTCCATGTCGGCAAAGCATCCAATAGACCCAAATCTGGGTCACTCCTCAGTCCACAAAAAAAGCAGCAGGAGCTGTAAGGCAGAGCCTCCTTCCCCATCCCCGCACAAAGCAAAACTGGAGCATCTCAACCACTTCCCCGTGACATTGCTGATGGAGGAGACTTCTTAAATGACCTGGACAGTGCAGCCACACAGCTACAGCCAAGCGCCCATGAGTCTTCACAGAAAAGTGAATGTTGGCAGTAAGCCTTGACTTAGGAGTCACCTCTTCGATGGTGCCCTACACCTCCTACCCAGGCAAGAGCCTCCTCTTTGGCATCTGACGAAGAAAAAGAGCCAGTCCCAAGACACACAACCTTCCTGTCATGGCCAGGCAGGGATAACACTGTCACTCCTGGACAGAAAAGCTTCGCAGTTTGGAAACATTTTCCTTGAAAGAGCAAGGTCTAAAGAAACAAAATTGTCTGACATAAGTCTTTGGAATTCTTTATGTTCTTTTTTTCAATAAAAAGTAAAAATCAAACATGGCTATTATGCACTTTCCTCCTTATTTTCCATTATCAGCTCAGAAAACTGACAGCTTTTGATGAAATCTTCCATTTTGCATGAAAAGCCTTTTATTGAAAGGCAGGAGAGCAGGTGACTTGTGGTGGCCCTCTTTCAGGTATCAACTTGACAGCAATACCCTTGGTCAACTATGCCACATCACTGAAGGGATTTGTTTGCACTATCTTCAGTCTCCCTGCTCAGCCTTGAGAACCATCAATCTGCTGCTGGTCTCTCGCATGACCCTGGCGGGGATGTCTCCAGGCACCTAAGCCACCACTGGTGGTTGACTCACTCTGCCGACCCAGCATGAGACACATGATGCCACCCTTGTGGCGAAGGCTACCTTAGAAGAAGTGGGATATGGAAATCGCCTGCCATGGCACAGCCCAGGAGACAACAGATGTTGGCCAGCTGGGAAAGAGCAGCAGGGTGGAAAGCCCGACAGCCCTGGCATCTCCAATGGGCACCACTGTGGCCATGTGTCACCTCTCGAAAGGACTTGCCCCCCTGACCTCCTGCTGGTCTCCCCACGGGTGAGCTTAGAATGGTGCACGAAGCTTCTCTGGGGCTGAGACTGGAAGGCATCACCTCCGGCAACAATGCTGTCAGTATCCTCACCCAGCCTGAAGAGCACTGGGGCAGCCCTCACAGCATGGCTCCGTTTTCCTCGCTTTCCAGCCAAAAAGAAGAGCAGGCAAGCGCTGGGCTGAGTTAGTTGAAGGCAGGGTGTAACAAGAGTTTGGAAGGCATCCTGCAAATTTTAAGAGGCCAGGATGGACCCTCCTGTTCCCTGCGTTTTGCAAACTCCACACTGCTCTCAGCCAAAAGCCTCTGCCCTCTCCATCAGCGACAGTCCTGGGGCCCTGCTGTGTTTCCTTCCCATGCTGGCGACCACAGCATAAGTTTCTTCCCCGCCAGAAAACTGCTCGCAGCCACCCTCCTGCACGCAGGGCACGTGGTGGCACTTTGTCCACGGGTGTTTGGAGCACGGGCAAGTCAAGGGCTGGGGAAGGCGACGAGCATCATCCACCCTGGGAAATCGAACCATGATGTAAAGCAGGACTCAGCATCTCCAAAAGCATCCAAGCATCTGGATAGCTAGTTTATGCACTCATGGGTACTCAGTCTGCTGGGCTGGACAGGCAGGACAGAATGCTTTATGTTAAAGGTTTTATATTAGAAAAGGGCTGTGGTGCCATTGCATCATCCCTCCAGCCCCAGGCGCAGAGCAGGAAGGATGTGGAGCGGGGCTGCAGGACCAGCTGCCTCACAGGTCCTTGTGCAGCTGGGCGACATGCAGCAGGGGAGTCATAAAGGTGGAGTTTTGATATTTAGCCTGTGTTGCTGTCATTCATTTCTTTAAATGCCTTTAGCTTCCTTCTAATAGAAAGCACAAAAACCCCCACAAAGGATCCTTCACCATTGGCGAATATCAATGTGGTGAAGCAGCGTATTAGTATGCACAGCACCCGCTCCATCTGCATGTTGTATTTGATGTGACAACATCCTGGAATACAGATTTGGGCCACAAGTATCCCGAGAGGTATTAGCGATTGCCTATCAGACAGGATGAGAAGCAGTCCCTGCTGTTGTAAACAAGGGGTGTTTTTCTCTGCCTTTTTCTCTTGGGGGAGTTTAGTGATTTGAAACCAGCTCATTCCTGCATCTTGTTAGTTCCTGTTCTTCAGCAGAGCGGTGGGTCATCTTCCTTAGACAATTAAAGAAATAAAATTGGAGGTGTAAAGAGCTCCCCATCACTAGGGTCCTTCATCTGCTGGTGGTGCCAGCCACCATGACCCTGAACCAAGCACATACTCCCTTATGGGACACATGGAGGTCTCCCAACCAGAGAGCGCCTCGATAGCCCCAGCACAGGGGATAAAACTCACACCCAGGACACGTGGACAGGGGCAGTCAGAGGAAGGGCTTGTCCCCGTGCATTCAGTGGCAGCAAGCAAATCTGGTGAGGCATCTCCATGGCATGGATAGACACTGGGCAACCCAGTGGTGCAGATGGATGTGGAGCAATCCCATGGTGCAGGATGGATGTGCAGCATCCCCATGGGAAGGACAAACAAGGCGAAAACCCACAACACAGGTGGCCATGAGGCATCCTCATGGCACTGATGGACATAGGACACCCCCACGGCACAGACAGACACTAGGCATCCCCAAGGTACAGCTGGATGTGGGCCATCCCCCTGGTGCAGGACAACACATGACATCCCCATGACATAGATCATAGAATCATTAGGTTAGAAAAAACCTCTAAGCTCATCAAGTCCAACCGTCAACCGAACACCACTATGCCCACTAAAACATGTCCCGAAGTGCAACATCTACATGTTTATTGAACACCTCCAGGGACAGTGACTCCACTGGACAGCCTGTTCCAATGTTTGACTACTCTTTCAGTAAAGAAATTTTTCCTGATGTCTAATCTAAACCTCCCCTGGTGCAACTTCAGGCCATTTTCTCATACATGGATGGAAGCAGGGCATCCCCACAGTGCAAGCAGATGTAGGGCATCCCCACAGTGGGGATGGAAATGTAAGGAGGATGGAGGGTTTCTTGTACATGTACAAGCCACCATGCCACCAAATTACGTCAGGGACAGGCAGCCCTCGAGGCATAGCTGGGCAGCCTGCCCGCATCACTGCTCACCCTGCCACACAGGTGCCGCTTGCTGCCAGCGTGGTGCCTGCAAAAGTGCAGTGATGGATCATTACAACTCACACAGAACTATCTAAGTAAAAGCCTTATTAAGAGTTCATTCATCTTATAAACTCTCGGCGCGATCCACAGAGGGATGTCAGATTGCCCAGTCTTACAATATTCTGTGTAAACACTGACACGCGTCTAGTAATTTTAACTAGATCAATTTACAAAGGAGAACAACAGTAGAACAAAAAAAAAATCAAATTAAACATGGGGAAACATTGACTGGGAAAGGCTTTAAGGAAGTGAGCAGAAAAATACAGAGGACTGATGGATGGACAGAGAGGCACACGAGACAAATGGACCTACCTCTGAAACCACGAAACCTAAGTCTGTAAAACAATATCAAAATCCTTAGGTCCACAAGATGGGGAAAAAAAAGTCCTCCATAGCCATCTTCCGCACATCACCAAGGCTCTAGAGGCCTTAGCAGTCTGTTTCCCAGAGCATCACTCCTTCTCCAGCAGTCACCAACCCAGTCACAACCACGCAGCAGCTCCTCCGGTCCTGTCCCGTCCCCACCACACCAGCCGGCCTTTGGTGTCCTCCTCCCCGCTTGCAGGATGCTGAGTGCTTGCTTCATCATTGGGCGCTTCCCTGCTACCTCCTGCTCCTGGGGGCTGCAGGCACAACCCCTGGCCCTCCC